ACTTACTTACTTACTTACTTACTTACTTACTTATTTATTTATTTATTTATTTATTTGCATTTGTTTTAGCCGCCCACTCCAGTATCAATACAAAAACGATAAAAACAGTTAAAAACCTACAACACCACGGGCCGCCCAGATTGAAACAACCATAACAATAACAAACCACACCCGGAGCCCCACACACCCATTAATCCCAGACCTGAGACCAAAGCCAGTTCTGAAGAGCTTTTTGGAACCCCTTAGTCCCTAAGATGACAACATTTAACAGAAGAGACCCGGAGTGTGCCCACTGTGCCAGAATGTAGCAGGTGGGCAGAAACAATTGAAGATAGGTGGTCCCTCAGGTATGATAACTAATTTAGGTTAGAGAAAGGTTGCTGATATGAACCTGCTTGATGCACTGTGCCACGCTTTCATAGTACTTGGTCCAACGGCATCATATTTCTTGGGCCATGAAGGAAAGCCTCATAAACCTCTATGTGTCCTAGGCTTGCGTTATTGAAACCTAATGTCAAAGGGTAAAAAATATCTGAAGTATAATTTTGCCTGTTGATCTCCCTGAGGTACACCTTGTTCACAAACATTGCCATTCATATTACATATCTGAAGCAAAATGGAGATGATCACATGAACTGGCTTGAGAGATTAATAACACACTGTTTAGCACTGCTCCAAATAACAAGTGGAATAAAAAACTGGTTGTTCATGTATGTGGTAGCCAATTCCTCACAATAATCCTGTAATACCTATATTACAATATAAACCTATAGTAGAAACTTGTATACTGAGGTAGGCGATTCACAACAAACATTAAAAATATAAATATATATAAATACATAAAACATTAATTAAATTGTTTTTAATTGTTTTTAATTTAATTAATATAATATAATTTAGGTTAGTTAATTAAATTTATATAATAATTTAATTAATATACCAGCATGAAAAGTTCTGGTTTCAATTGAATGTTGACCTTTAAAATTCTTTGTATCGTTATATGTATTTGAACCCAAACATTTCTGGCTTTTTTACAAGTCTGCCAGGCATGATAAAATGACCCTTCATATTCTCCACATTTCCAACATAAATTTGAAATACCTTTATATATTCTAGACAATTTTTCTGGAGTCATATACCAACGGTGCATCATTTTATAAAAATTGTCTTTTAGATTATAACATAATGTAAATTTCAATCCTTTTAACCACATATTTTCCCATAGTTCCATCAGTATATTGTGTCCAAAATTCTTAGCCCATTTTATCATACAGTCTTTCACTTGTTCCTCTTCTGTTTCAAATTTTGATAAAAGTGTATACATTTTATCAATTACATGTTTATCATTTGTACATAGTTCAACTTCTGACTTCTGCTGCTCAATTCCAAATATTTAATATCTTTCTCAGAGGTTTTGTCCTTTTGTAGACAAATTCCTCCATTCCAGTCCCCCATTAAACACCAATTTTCATATGGTAAGCCAATTAATTTATCGATAAGTCTTTTGTAAAAACTAAAGGCTTTCCTCTTCCTGTAGCTACAGAAAGAATGTATTCAATATTATTATGGCTGGTGTGAAAGAAATAAAGCAGTAATAGTTGAGAAGCAGAAGCTGCTTCTAAAGAAAGGGATGAGGAAATGTCTAGTTAAAGAGAAATCTCAACAGCATTTTAGTCCACACATGATAGGCTGGCACTATGAATATATTTACAGCTTTAATGTTATAAACTAGAGCTTAGGAGAAGATAGGAGAATAATGCAAAAAAGATAGGAAAGTGATATTACATTATCATTTCCTAGATTCTTCTACAAAGAATTTCTGAAGAAAAACTCTAATATGGAAATAATCTAACTCCAGTAGACTATAAATTAGATTGTCTCAAGTCTCTGGCATCAGGAATGTGCTTTATGAGCTGGTCAGGTTCTGCACTGGACCTCTCTAGACTCAGGTTTTTTTTATAAATCATCACCATTTTTCCTCTTTCCTCCTGAACTCTTCCTGATATTTCTGACTGCAAAAGTGTTCTGTACAAAGCACTAATGAGGCCACAGTCATATTAATGAGCACCATGTAAGACCTCAAAACCCAAGCTATGCTACTTCAGATTTCTTCTCTGGTTTGCTGAGCATGCTACTTTTCAGTTAACAAAATCCTGAGTCCTTTAAAATGTGACAAGCATGAAACATTTGCACCAAATAGTCTGCTGTTGAAGCAGAAATTTATTTTCTTATAAAGCCCACAGTACAACAGACAGTACAATAGTCAAATAAGCACATGGTAGTTTGCAACTTTGGCTACCCTTTTTTGTCTTTACCAACACTATATTAGAATTAAGTGAAGCAGCCATAATAATTTAAGGATAGTAGGAACTGCTGTGTGGTATTCACATGTTTTATTTATTTGCTTTATTTAAAACATTTATATACTGCTTCGGTGGAAGAAATTTCTAGTGTATAAAGGAGATCCACTTGCAGTAAAATGCAACCTTAGAAAAATCCATGGGCCATAAGTGATTACTTGCTTTCATAGCATGCTTTAGCATCAAAGCAACCTTAAGTGCTTAGAGTTCTGTAAAGTAGTGCTAAGCACAGCAAAAGAGGGGCCCCTTTTGATGTAGGTGGAAGTTCCAGGGAGACCTGACACCTCAAGGACAAGTGACAATCAAAGCATACTCTTATCACAACAGTTCTTACTATAACAAAGAAATGAGATGAACAAATTTTGTTGTAGTATCTAGTCATTAAAAATATAGTGATCTCACCTAATTTCTTATCTTCACCCTTATTGATAAGTAACTGCCTATGTAATTGCCTTCTGAACTGTATAGTGCACATATTCCATTTTAAATGCTTGTAACCTATATATATATATTTCTGAAACCGTTATTCTGGGCTGTTGGCCCCCAAAAACTTAAGGTCTGGTAACTCATTACATCAATAAACATAGCAAAATGATCATTTGGATCCTCTCCTGTTATTTTGATAAGTATACTGAGTGATGTTTCTACCATACTTCTCAATTAAAGAATTGTGAAGGGAGTTACAATAAAAGTTCACACAGTATGGTAAGCCATAGTTTGCTTACTCATTTTACTGGCTAGGTTTATGCATTGTGTTAAAGTATAATCCTTGATTCACAACCCACAATGGGTGGATACAGCTAAGTGCAAACTAAACAAACCACATTAGGATTTAGGTATGACATGTGAACTAGGACTCAAATTTTCATTCCCTTTAGTGCTTTTAGAAAATATATCAATTTAGGCAATTTGTTACCTACAGTTTACAGTCAGTATGTAAGTCCCTGCTAGGTTTTTTTTCTTTTGGTCAAGTGATCCTGCAAACTTGTACTCTACCTACAGATGTTGTTTCCTATTTCTGTCCTTCTACCACCAGAGCAGTTTCGATGCTTTGCCTGGTCCAGCTCAGAAACTCAGATTGTGTATGTTGCAGAGAGAAGGCGCTCTCCAAAACAACCATTTTTCACTCAAGAGGGGTTCACTGAAGGAGAGGAGGTAAATAAAAAAAGCCATAAAGGTTTTCCTTTCTTTTTACTTATTCAAATAACTGAACTATGTCAAGTATCTTACAGTACTCATCCTGCTTATATCTTAAAGTTGTATGGCAAGTCAAATGAATTGGATTGCTCATTTCTCAAAGCAAAACAAACTGAAGAAAAATATGTTGTGTACTAAATGAAAAAAGAATTCACAAAATTAACAAGCTGCTTCCCTAATGGAATTCTCTGTTAAATTTTGTTCATGAAACTTTAGTTTCTATTTAATTTAGGATATACATTATTTTGAATAAATTGTTATTCATGGAACCCAATTTATGTACTTCATGCTAGCAAAGTTCTGAGGTTCCATTTCTAAGCAACAGCATGTTGTGCTGTAATACCCCATCAGCCTTTACACATAAATAATGATTACATAAGTCCTCTCTCTCTCTTACAGAGACAATAGTAAGGTATTCAATTGAAAGACATTAAGGCCATTTAATGATTTCTGGTATCATTTATCCATTGTTGTGGTGATAGAAAACCAGTCTATTTAATGATGTATTACCACAACAGTGGCTGAATGATGCAATAGATAATCAGTGTGGATTAGAGAAAAGTATTGTAATAATACAATACAATACAATACAATACAATACAATACAATACAATACAATACAATACAATACAATACAATACAATACAGAAAATTAGATTGGAGAAAATCCATCTGTGCAGTCAGTAAGAGTTGTTACTGACTTGATGGCACATAATCAGAGATAAGTGAGTCAGGCAACTCTGCCTGATCATCTTCCTCCTCCATTCCAGACTGATGACAATAGACTGTATTGTTTATCATTCATTTGTTCAGTCATTCATTCATTTATATCCCGCCTTTTGTACAGGAACTCAAGCCAGCATAGATAGTGCTCTCCCCTCCTGTTTGTCTCTACAGCAGCAACACTAGGAGGTATGTTGGGCTGAGAGAGAGAGCAACTGGCCAAAAGTTGCCCAGCAAGCTTCCATGGCTGATGGTGGGCTAGAACCTGGGACTCCCCTCTCCTAGTCCAACAGCTTAATTTCTATAACACACTGGCTTTCTGTACACTGATTGTACAGCTATTCTACAGTGGGGAAAATATACTGGATCTATACAGAGGTATTGTTATTCTGCATAACGTTCAGCCTTGGCATTAGAAATGGATCCTGCAACTAAGAAATCTATTTTCAATGCCAGATTCCATCCATCCATCCATCCATCCATCCATCCATCCATCCATCCATCCATCTATCTATGGATGTCCTTGCACAGTATATCTCGTGCAGATTGGGCTGTTGTAATCTAAGGGCCATTCTTCTTTTTCCTATCCATCCATCCATCCATCCATTCTTCTATCCTTATATAACACCCCAATATTCTAATTAAAAGAATAACAAGACTACTCAGATGATGATGATGATAATGATAATGATAGTAATAATACAGTGATGTTATAAAATAAACAGTCATAATCACATAATTGCAAATGCCTATGCTAGACACCCCAACAATCAGCTTGAGGCAAAGGCTGGTTTGAACAGATAGATTTTACCTGCTTGCAAAATTCAAGAAGGGTAGGAACCACTGTTATTTCTAGAGGAAGAATGTTCCAAAGAATGGGGATACCCATGGAAAAGGCCTGCCATGCCATCCATACTTATTTATGTCTCAAGGGGTGAAGCCTTCCAGAGCACTTGAAAGAGACAGGCAGGTTCAATTCTGGCAAGGTCTTGTCTGATGTATCCTAGTGCTCTGTCATACAAGGCTTCAAAGGTAACAACTACAACTTTGAATTGGGCCCCAGAGTCTACTGGTAACCAATGCAGCTACTTCAAAATAGACATGGCTCAACAGATAGATTGTCCTGCCAACAATATAACCACTGCATTTTTTTTACCAGCTGCAGCTTCCAAGTCATCTCCAAAGCCAACCTCACATGGAGTTTGTTAGATTAGTCCAACCAAGTAGTGATCAAGGCATTAGTTACTGTCACCAGGACATTAGAAATGCTTATTTTTGGCCCAATGCATGGTGAATTTCTCCATGTACTTGTAGGCAAATATAAGCTCAAGAAGGATTGTACAAAATTTATCATTGTATTTTCTTGCGTAAAGTATTAGGGTTCCTAGAAAATAGTTTGCAAAGTTTAGATTGCAAGGAATGAAAATGTATAAGAGTAGGTCATCTGACCACTACTCAGTCTTACTAGTGTGATGCATGTAGCAAGCCCTAGGAAAAAAGCCTGTCATTCATGTTCAGTCTTTCTTGTCTATCTCATGGAGAACTGCAGATACACAGCTCTCTAAAATAATTAACTGTCTGATTACATTCTAGGATGAGCAGTTTGTGTACTACGACAACTGGGGAGAGGCACTGGGGGACAAAAGTGCCCCTGTATTATGTGTGCTGAATGTTGAAACCAGTGAAGTTTCGGTGCTAGGAGACATCCCAGAGCACATCTCCCCTGGACAGGTTAGTATAATGCAGCACTGAAAGTTTGATTGGGAAGAAGAGAAAGACAGGGCCCCAGTTCTCTGCTTATGAAGTAATACATTGTTTTTTTGGTTTGCAGATGCATATACATATATAAAGGAGATATATTCAGGGTGGGGAGGCCAGGCTGGGTCTTGGAAACTGTTCTAACCAGTTGAGCTTTAACATGGCCCTTGACATGTTAGCCTCTTTGCAAGTGCAGTTTCTATACATTACTTCTGTCCTTTGAATAGGAAATCTGACAAGTGATATTCAGTGTCCTCACAACAGATGCTGTGAGTGTGCAAGGATGACTTTGCACTAGACAAAAATACTTCTTATAGGTGCGCTGGTTAATCTGCTTGGGGCAAGATGTCAAATTAACCCTCCACCCACATTTATGCTGGTAGCTTCCAGATGGATCATTCTTAACTCTATCATTGTGCTACAGTATTTTGTTTTTTACTCCTTAATAGATGTTATGTAGTAAGGAAAAGAAGAGTGAAAAAACACAGAAATGATGAAACCAAGTCGAAATCTACATTGTTTGAAATTGTGTAAAATCCTGTTCATGAGGCATCGTGGTAGCGTGATTATAAAAAGCTCACATGGAATCAGTTATTCATTCTGTTTTCTTCCAGCATTTCCTCTGAAGGGAAAGAAATAGGAGGTTGGGCTAGATTTTTAGTAGGAAATTGAATGATTGAAGCCATGCGATTGCATTTCCTTTAAAACAAGAAAACAGCTTGAAACACTGCTTGAAAACTATTATTCAGTATTTAGTTTGACATTCATACTGTGCTCCAGCTAAACTGTATTCATACAGTTCTTCAACCTCTAAAGGCATCATGCCAGTATTTAAATCCATTGCTGGAGGGTTCAGAGGTCTTGCCCTTTCGTGCAAGTTCAGCTCAAGCACAGAGTGGCAGCAGGAATCCCCTGGAGAAAATGTTCCAGTCTGCAGTCCCTTTAGTAGTTGCAGGGCTATTTGCTTACAAGCATTTCTAACCAAGAAGAAAAGAGTAATTGGAGGGTTACTATCAAACAGCAGTCCCAAGAGTTGGAACAGCTCCTAGTACATGATCTTTTTGAAGAATCAGATCTCCTGCATGGCATTCTTTAGATTATGGAGGAAGATCCTGGGACATAGCATAGTCCAGCATTTAGCACTCAAAATATCACATGCTAATACTTTGGTTTTGCTTCCCTGGCCAGGCCCTGTGGTCCCCAGGTGACAAGGGAATAATATTTGTGGGCTGGTGGCATGAGCCATTCAGATTGGGATTACATGCCTGCTCCAATAGACGGTAAGTGAGATCTCACTGACTCACAAGAGCATATTAAACCTGTATCTCATTTTCAGATGGGCCAACATGAGTTATTACCCTAGAAAAGCTCAAAGAACAGATTTTCACTCAATTCTGAGAAAGGGTTTAAAACATATATTGAAATCAGTAATTGCTTCTGAAATTCTCATATATGGAAATGACAGTTTTAAAAGGAACCTAATGAGGGACAAGCCCAACTTAGTTTCTGTCCTTCCTTAAACAGGATAGACAAGGCCTGCTGCCTGTCCACACTTCCAAGAAATTGCATAAAGCATCATCCCTAAGGTCACGTGATTCATGGAATCTATTATCATTAGCAAATATGAGTATTTCCTATTGAAAAGAGGCTGTAGATTTCCAAATCCTTAGTGCTATACCACTTTCTTTTAAGTGAAAATTGTGAACATTGGATCTTATTGCAATATATACGATTCCCTATAAGGTTGGCATGGTGTGTGGGTTGGTGGTGAAAAACATATTCCCTTCTGGAGAATCTTCACCCTTCCCCTCTCCCTGTTGTAGGTCAGCTCTATTTCACTTCGATCTCTCTGAAAATAGCTGTGGTAAGTCATCTCAGAGATTTTCTTTGAGTGCCCTAAAAGTGAAGGATTACTTGAAACCTCCCCTTAACCACATACAGTCCAGAGAAAATGTTCTGCTTTCTGGAACCTGTAACAAATGGGTTTACAGAGTTGGCTGTACTTCTTGAATACAAATGTAGGTCATGTGTTCTGTACTTCTGATAACTTGTGTAAACAGGAGAAGGTACCACTTTTCTTGCTGTGGAACTCCAAAGGCAAAAACATAATGCCTTCTTGTTGTGCTTTTCATTGCTCCCAAAATCATGTCAAATACTGGAATTCTGCAATGTAGGGATACTATTCCTGATACTATTCAAAATACTATTCTTGTATTTTGAGTGGAAGCCAGAGAATTCCCAGAGGCATGTCATTTTCTGATGTCTGAACTTTCAGCAAGCAAAGTTGTTGGGCATTCCAAAGTTTATATAGTGTCTTCAGCCATTGGGCTGAAATGTTTTATATTTTGAAAGTATAAGGAAATACATTCTCAGAAGGAGCTTTGGAAGAGCAAGTATAGGCAATACCTTTCAGCAGAACTATAAGCAATTTAAAGTAAATTCATGTTCTGGTAGTGTTATCACTTGAGAGTCTTTAGTTAATTGTTGCAACCAATTGAGATTAAATAACTTTTCTGATTGTCACATATGTAGTTCCACTAAGACATAGTTCCGCCCTCAATCTTGCATCCCCATTCTGGTTGCAGAACTACTGACCTCAGATTACCAGGCTATCTCTTCTCCCCGGCTCAGCCCTGACCAAACTCACCTGCTGTACTTGGAGGGATCAGTGTTTGGGTCTCATCGCCAGTGCTTGAAGCTACAGTTGGTGAGTGCCTGAGAATATGTTGTCATTTCCTGTCCACTAACACTGAGTCAGCAAGTGAAAGGAATGTCGGTTCATCCTTCCTTTTCCAAAATTCCTTTCACTCAGAAATAATAATCATGCCCTTGCATGCTGTTTCCACCCCTAAACTCTCAGTGCTTCCATCCCATCTCTCAAAGGTGGGAAAAGGTGGGTTTCTCAGTGGCCCAACACCGTCTCCCTCCCAAATAAGGGTTTATCCTCAAAAGATTAGATTTTTTGAATAAGGCAAAACTGATTGGATTCAAACATCCTACCAAGCCATAAATTAGTTTAAAAGGCTGGGTTCACTCAGCACACTAAGCCAAAACCGTCGCTTTATCAATTGGCATGATTTATGACTCCAGCATAAAAAACTCCCAAAGTTTTCATTCAGAAGCAGTGGTGCCCTACGAACTGAAAATTATATGAGATACAGTCCTAACATATCTGAAAGGCTGACTTCCTAGAATAGTTTAGGCATTGATCACTTATAACTAGAAAAGTAAATTATGATACCTTAATTTTGCCAGCCAGTACAGGACATTTTCAGTCACTTGAAATTGTTAGGCAACTTTTGTTATACCTCACTTTTTAATGAAAAGCAAGCTAAAAATATAAAGGCATATAAAATAAATGTTTCTTGTTCTTTTATCTACTGAATGTCGTCACTGACTGCTGTTATAAAACTAATACTGAAATGTAAGAGTTAGGAAAAATGCTCAGTGTACAATCTTCTCTTCTGCTTAGCTCAACTGGCAAACAAAGTTCTCATATACAGTGGTGGACATAGTTAGAACTACCACAGCTGGTAAGTATATATGCAAAATTTGAATAACTTTTTGTGATCACCCTGCCACTTCACTTTAGTTCAGCCACATATCTCCATTTTACTTATTGTCTTATTCCCACGTGGACCCAAACAGACACTTAAGGGTTGCTTTTGTAGCCTGAAAAAGAGGGATATTTTAGGTGAATGGTAGGACTTTTGTCTGAACTGCACCAAATATCTCCACAAAGTTGTTGGAAGAAAGGTTTATCTTACCAGGTCCATTTTTGAGCCGGGAGTAAAGACACTGATGAATTGTATGAAGTTAGGAGGTTTATTCTTCACCCAAGAACAGAAGCAACGACAGCATGCAGTTAGGTGGGCGGCTGCGCTGGACCCCCTCCATACAGCACATTATATACCTTCTGTTACATTCAGACCCATGTTAAGATGTCATGACTTTTCTGATCCAATCAAAGCCAGTTACCTTGATCCA